CTGGGGATTCGAACCCGCCACCTTAGGTGTACGTGGCTAGCGCCTTAGCCGGTTGAGCTATAGGTGCAGAGCCAACATAACCTAATCTTAACGGAGAACATGTTGTTAGCCATTAATTCTTTGTTCTTATCAGATGATGTCTGAGGCTAGGGAGGAACAAGGTAGATTTGAATACCTGCCCTTGCTGACCTTGCCATTTGGAGGCTGTTACTTCCAATCTTTAAGCAAAGCATAGAGAAACTTCTTGGGCATACAGGAATTTGCATGCAAACCTCTGCTTCCATGTGGGCCTTAAGTCGGGGTTTTTGCTGGACCCTTTATAAGGAATTCTCAGGCTGGACTTCTCAAGAGCCTTTCATGAGCCCAAGTTTCATCTGTGCCATTAGATACCTGTGTGCATTGGGTAAATTCCTCTTCTTTTGAGGTTCCCTAGCACATTTTCATTCCCAAACCCATCAGCAAGTGACCTTCATCACTTACCACAGATCAGGAAAGGTTACTGATGGTTATCTGGTCAGTTTTCCAAAGGGCTTTTTCGTTGGCCTTATAAAGTCAGCCTTAATTCCTTACCACAGTCTGGAAATGCTATTCCAGAAAGCCTTGGTCATGTTAGACTCACAACCAACCTGGCCACATGGGATTCTGCCTCAGTTTCTTACAAGTATGCTTACACAAAGTCTTTTCACTGCTCTCTCTCAAACGGCTTTTTTGGCCAAAGGCATATAGGCTTTTCGCCTATACGCCACAATGCCCCCTTTTTTTGGTTGCAGCTGTCATTGTTGTTTGGTGGGCCCAGGCTGGATTCGAACCCGCCACCTTAGGTGTATGTGGCTGGCGCCTTAGACACTTGAGCCACAGGCACTGAGACCATGAGTGTTTTCTTTTATCTGTTTCCTTGCCTTAATTTTCCTTTCATGTCCTCTTTCTCTTTAAGTTACTGTGTCTCTGGACTAGGGTTTTGATGAGTCCAATTCTCCACTGCTTTTGTCCTCCTCATGGGGTACAGAAGTCTCTCGCTGACTCCTGTGTCCCCAAAGGGATGTTTCTGGGCAGATCCCACCAGCCAGAGATGTGTAGTCTTCTCTTCTCAGTCTCACCATGCCCAGTTGCAAGGAAGCTGTTGTCTGTGTTCAGTCTTGAGGCTAAGGCAAGAGGATAGCTGACTCCCAGGAGTTTGAGGTGGCAGTGAGCTGTGAAGACACCACACCACTCTACCAAAGTAACAGAGAGAAAACAATCCCAATGATACAGGGCTCTTCTGCTCAGGGCTGGACAGAGGCCCTGTGTCTTGGAGGCCTGTGCGAGCTCAGAAATGAGTCTTATCACAGATTCTATTTCTAGGCACAAACAGGTCACCTTTTCTCAGAAGTGAATATTTTTAATCAAGTCCAGTCAACAGTTTTTTCTTTTATGGATTGTGCTTTTGATGTCCTATCTAAAAGATCTAGTCTAACTCAAGGTCACAAGGATGCCAGAGAACAAGTCAAAGTAGTTGATTAAAATTTAGGAAGAGAATTTACTCGTTTTTTTTTTCTCTTCTTTTCTTTTTTCTTTCTTTCTTTCTTTCTTTTTTTTTTTTTTTGAGGCAGAGTTTCACTTTGTCACCCTCAGTAGAATGCTCTGGCATCATAGCTCAAGCACCCTCATACTCTTGGGCTTAAGAGTGATTCTTTTGCCTTAGCTGCAGCCTCCTGAGTAGCTGGGACTACAGGCACATGCTGTAGTGTCTGGCTAGTTTTTTCCTATTTTTAGTAGAGAGAGGGTCTCCCTCTGGTTCAGGCAGAGAGAATTCCTGAGCTTAAGGAGTCCACCTCCCTTGGCCTTCCAGAGTCCTAGTATTATAGGTGTTGAGTCACTGGGCCTGACTTAGATAATTTATTATTTTTGATGAAAAGGAGAGCCTACTCTTAAGTGGTTATACTGAAGAATTTTGGAGGCAGACAACTTGACAAATGAGAACACCAAGCTTTGTCATTTTCTCTGCAGACAATCAGAAGCACTGAAGTGTTCTTTTATAGGTTATTTCTGCTCAGATGACATTAAGTTGAAATACGAATTTGTAATTTTTTTCTTCCTCACATAGATAGCATCACTGATGCAAACCTAAGGTTGTTCTCATTTACTTAATGACAGAAAGAAAGAAATTAAGTAATAGTTATTTAACTCAAAGAATCTTGAAAAATTGTGATGTTACTTGACATAGATCTGTTTGTCTAAAAAATGTGATTTAGGAACCCCAATTCTGTGCTTTGGCACACTTTTTTTTGAGTAAGGGTTTTTAGCTCTAGTTGCTATCAGAAATCACCTGTGCATTGTTATGCAAAAACCACTCTATAATTCAAACTTCTCATTCAAGCCAAACAACAAAAATTTCATATGAAATTTTCATTTGTACAGTTTAATTTCCTTTCTTTTTTCTTTCATGAAATAGTCATTACTTTTTATATGAAAAATGAGATGATTTTCCTGCTAAGAATTGGTTTAATATTGTGCAGTATTTTGTGCATTTGTTTTAATGCATTGTGTGTGTGTGTGTGAGAGAGAGAGTGATGAAATGGTGTGAGGCAAATCTTTCATTTGAATCTCAACTGAATCTATAACCTCCCCCCAAAGGTATAGATTATAACCCCTGGTACTGAGGACTTTTCTAGAACACAGTAAAATAAGTTCTATGTTGTAAAAGTAAAACCATTGTGTGTGAGCACTTTGCAGGTCAAATTGGCATATTGCAAATATTGTTTTTGTACCTCAAAAATTAGAGTCTTCAATGGCCACACTTGCTATGAATATATGTATTAAAGTTATACATACTATAAAACAATTACAGTCTTCTACAAAGAGCACTGTAGTATTTGTAATCCTATTCCCTACTTATCACTATTGGAACACTATTTACTACATAATTACAATATGTAAATTTTTTTCTGGTAAATTTTCTTTTTGCATTCCTTTTTTTTTTTTTTTTTGAGACAGAGCCTCGAGCTATCCCCTGGGTAGAGTGCTGTGGCATCACAGCTCACAGCAACCTCCAACTCCCGGGCTCAAGCGAGTCTCCTGCCTCAGCCTCCCAAGTAGCTGGGACCACAGGTGCCCACCACAATGCCCAGCTATCTTTTGGTTGCAGCCGTCATTGTTGTTTTTGGTGGGCCTGGGCTAGATTAGAACTCGCCACCTTAGGTGTATGTGGCTGGCGCCTTAGCCACTTGAGCCACAGGTGCCAAGCCTTTACATTCTATATATAATGTTGAATACTCTGGGTATAGACAACAATACCCTAATGTTATCAGTTTTGTTTACATCTTTAGTTTGCGTTTTAATCTTATTTCCTTAGTGAGTTGCTGACTGAGTTTTTCTTTTTCTGTTTGTAAACCATTTTTATAGTTAATGGAATACTGGATTTTTCAAGTTTCCTTAAGGCTGTGAATGATGTGTCTTATTTGGTCTCTCAGGATCCAGGTAAAAAGACTTCTTCAACCCCTCTACCCAGAAAATATTAATAAAAAGGAAAATATAAATATCTTTTACATGAAGAGAAATGGAATTTTGTTATCTTGTTTTGCAAGAAATGTCTTGTTATTTAATGTATTTATGTTTTTCAATTATCAAATTTGTTGTTTCTTAACAAATTTATTAACATATATTTTTTTCTGGGAATTGCCTTTTTATATCTACTGTCCATTTTAAAAATTGGGTTTTTTTTCTTGCTAATTTGTGGGGGTTTTCATATTCTGGATATTAATCCTTTTTTACATTATGTTACAAATATTTTCTTCCAGTCTATTATTGCTCTTTTAATTTTGAAATGGTGTCCTTGTTTTTCAGAATGAAATGATACATTTTATTATAAAATTTCTTATTTTTCCTTTATGTTTTCTGAACTTTGAATTGTGCTTAGAGGCCTTTCTTAATAGTACACACATATGGACATTTTCATCATTGTTTTTAAGTCTCCTGGGAACCTGGGGATGGGGAGATGGGAATATGGCAAATTAAAATGCCATAGAACTCATTGTTTTCATTAAGATTCAGCCATTTTTCCTGAAGAAACATTATTTGGATTGTTGCAAGCTTTGGTTGATTTTTAGAATTTTTTAAAAAGTTGATTCTGATAATTTTTGTGAGTGTTCTCATTGCTTTTATGGAGGATGAGATTTTTGAAGGTCCTTCCTCAGACATTTTTGCTCACTTGATCAGTAACAACTAGTTGAATGAGTAAATCATGCCTAGTTTTCCCTCCCTAATTATGCTTCTCTAGGACCTTGTGGATCATTATGTTTATTATATCCTGAATTCTAAGAAAATATATCTGATTATAAATTGATTTATTCTCTGGAATTGATTGTGGGAATTGTGCTTTCTTATCAAAGTAAATTAAGAGATGTGTAGTGGTCAGGGAGAATTTAAATTTAGAAGTTGAACACAGTTTTCAATCTAAGTTTTAAGGAAGACTTTTTTTGTGGAAAATTCTCTTCATTAATCTAAATATTTTCTTCTCATTCATTTTTGATGTAAGGACTATTAGCATAAGAATATGAACTTTCTATGGAGAAATGAAAAAACCTTATCATAGTAGTTAAACCACTGCCAAAGTTTTTGTAGTGTAATAAAGATGTGAACTATTTAATGCAAGAAATTTTGGATTGCTACCATTTTCATTTTCTTTCTTTTTTTTTTTTGAGACAGAGTCTTATTATGTCACCCTCTGTAGAGGGCTGTGGCATAACAGCTCACAGCAACTGCAAACTCTTGGGGTTAAGTGATTCTCTTGCCTCAGCCTTCCAAGTAGCTGGGACTACAGGCTCCTGCCACAATGCCTGGCTATTTTTTGGTTGCAGTTGTTTAGCTGTTGCTTAACTGGCCTGGGCCAGGTTTGAACCCGCCACCCTTAGTGTCTGTGGCTGGCACCATAACCACTGTGCTATGGGCGCCAAGCCCCATTTCTATTTTCTTTTATACTATCTTTTCTAAATTTTATTTTAAAGCAACTAATAAAATTTTGTATTAAGCTGTCTTACTTTTATAGATTACATCACTATAAGAATAAATTATTTTATTTTATTTATTTTTTGAGGCAGTCTCACTATGTTGCCCTCTGTAGAGTACTGTGGCGTCACAGGTCAGAGCAACCTCAAACTCTTGAGGTTAAGTGATTCTCTTGCTTCAGCTTCCCAAGTAACTGGGACTACAGGCACCTGCCACAATGCCTGGCTACTTTTTTGTTATTGTTGTCATTGTTGTTTTAGCAGGCCGTGGCTGGGTTTGAACCCACCAGCCCCCGTGTATGTGGCTGGTGCCTTAACCACTGTGCTATAGGTACTGAGCCAAGAATAAATTATTTTAGTTAAAAATTTTATCTAAGAAGTAAATATGTAATGATTAAGAGTGAGCATTATAGATTAAGATTGCTAGATTAGAATTCTTGCTTTTCCACTTACTGTCTAGGTGGTTGAATGGGACTAAGACTTAATTTTTTTCTTTAAACTAGTGATAATAATTTCCATTTTATGGGTATATTGTGATATTTGAATGAGATAACCCATAGCTTTTAGTACAGTGCCTGGCACATTATCAGTTTTTAATATAACCACCTATTATTATTATTAATATAATACATGTAATAGTAATAATGACAAAAATTAGATTTTATGCTGGAACAGTGGTTGTTAGAATTGAGCAAACATCTATTTGTAGACAAATATCTAGAAAACCCCATTTTTATAAAGTATTATTTTCCCTTAGTGGGTTATTAACAATAAATCAGCTCTTTCTCCAAGAAAAGTTGTTGATTCTCATGGTACAATAATTTGTTTGCTTATTGTCTTTTAAAGCATTCCAGGATGCCTTGAAGATTTTCTGTAGGATAAAAAGTGGTCGAATTGCAACTGATGAAATAGTTGCTGTTTTGAATAGCATGGATATCTTAATAAGCCCTGAAACTTTAAAGGAAGTGATGAAACATACGTATATTGATAGTAAGTTACATGAATTGATATATATATCTTAATGTGTGTACTTATGTATATATATATTTTTCCTAGACATCAGTTTAGTGATTTATCCTTTGCTTTTCCTTCTTTTCCTGCTTGAATTTTACCTTTTCCATTGATGCTGCTTATTGGCATCTATATTAAGAGACACTCTAAAAAAATTAAATGAAAAATTTCTAAAATTGTTATATTTTGGTATGTTTGCTGAAAGTGTAATAATGAATGAAAAAAAATTTTTTTTGAGACAGAGTCTTACTTTATCACCCTCAGTAGAGTGCTATAACATCACAGCTCACAGCAACCTTCAACTCCTGGGCTTAGGTGATTCTCTTGCCTCAGCCTTCTGAGTAGCTGGGACTACAGGCACTCGCCACAACACCTGGCTATGTTTTTGTTGCAGTTTGGCCAGGGCCAGGTTCGAACCTGCCACCCTCAGTATATGGGGCCAGCGCCCTACCCACTGAGCCATGAATTTTAAAAAATTTTTAGCCTTATTGCTCTTTTCTAATAGTCATTTCTTATCTTTGTGGAGAGAGAGTTTCTGGTAGTTTTGGGGGCAGTGGATCCACAAATTAAAAGCCATAAATTTCTTGAATCTCAATTTCATTACATATTTTTGATTTAAAAATTTGCTTTTTGGTTGCTTTCTGCATAATAAATATTTTTACCAAGTGTTTTGTATTACATGTTTACATGTGACCAGGTGAAGTTCCATAATGAAGGATTAATGATTGATTAATTGATGCATTCATTCAGTAGTCAGACAGTCATTATCTACTTTGCCTAGAACTTTGTTAGCTGATACAACTACAAATAAAACACACTTCTTTTTTTAAGGGGACTCAACCTTCCAATGTGGAAAGAGTCAAGTAAATTGAAAATTATAATGCTCTATCAAGTATTACAGTAGGGTGTACAAAGACTGTTAATACATTCTGGAAGCACCTGAGAAAGGTTAACAGAGGGAGTTGATACCTGAGCTAAATCTTTAAGAGTCACTAGGTATTAATTAATTGATGGTGGTGGTGAAGGGTGAAAGAAATAGTTTAAACTAAGGAAGTGGTATGTGTAACTATGGCAGAAAGATAATCAGACATGGCATCCTTTTCAGCAGGATTTGGTCATTTGATTTTGTCATTTGTTAGTGGTGGCTTTATAGTAGCTTATTAGTTGTAGAAATATAGTAGAACCAGGCTCCTTGGAGTTCTGTTAGGAAGCCATTTGTGGTGGGCTCTGGAGTGGTAGATATAAATGGAGGGGTCTACTGGGGTATGAAAATGTCTGTAAAAGGGAGTTTTAAAGACAAATCTCAAGCCATACTATTAAATGACCTTTAAGGGCAAGTCCCTCCAGAAGCAACAGAAATATGAAATTACTGCAATACCTTGTTTTCTGGTGTACAGAATTGTAGTCTAGGTCTCCAGGTCTCCTACTTTTTTGGAGGGAAGGTAGATTAGACAAATTCAATTTCATTCTATTCAATTTTATAGAATTGTTATAGGAATTAAATATAAACATTTATTACAATGTTTGCCACCTAGAAAAGGTTAAAGAAAGGTGAGGCAGAAACCCGAGTCATGCTTGACAACTCTTTTTCTCTCGCTTCTTCATGCAGTTGTTATGAAGTCCTCCTAGATATGTCTTAAATCTTTCTATCTCTATCTCCCTATCTTAGCTCAAATTAACATAACCCTTCCTCAGGACTATTGCTGTTCATCCGTGCAAGTCTGCCCATATCCTTTCTTCCTTTACATTGTAGCCAGAATGATCTTTGCAAAACACTGATCTGATCAAGTTACCCTCTTTACATAGAATCTAATAGTAACTTTTGAGATAAAGAACCCTTTAATGTGGTATACACTGCCTTGCATATTCTGGTCTTTGCCCAAATCATCAGCTTTATTTCAGACTACATTTTCCCTTGCTCTTTGTGCCTTTTGAGAATTTCAACTATCTGCTATGCCCCTTCTGTCAAATAACCATTGCATATATTCTTTTCTCTTTCACGAACATTCCTCTTTTCCTAGTTAGTGCCTACTTATACTTTAGATCTAAATTCAACTATCTATTCTTTTTTTTTTTTTTTTTTTTTTAAGAGACAGAGTCTCACTTTGTTGCCCTTTAGTGCTATGGTGTCATAGCTTATAGCAACCTCCAACTCTTGGGCTTAGGCAATTCTCTTGCCTCAGCCTCCCGAGTAGCTGGGACCACAGGTGCCTGCCACAACACAACAACTGGCTATTTTTTTGTTGCAGTTTGACTGGGGCCATGTTTGAACCTGCCACCCTTGGTATATGGGCCAGCACTCTACTCACTGAACCACAGGCACTGGTCCATCAACTATTCTTTAGGGATGTTTTCTGCAACCTCTCTGAGTATGTCAAATTCTCATGCTATACTCTCTCATAACACTAATCACAATTGCAATTTGTCTTGTTTTGTTTTTGAGATGGAGTAGGGTGGGTAGTGTGCTGTGGTGTCACAGCTCACAGCAACCTCAAACTCTTGGACTTAAGTGATTCTTTTGCCTTAACCTCCCAACCGGCTGGGACTACAGGCACCCACAGCAACCTCAAACTTTTGGACTTAAGTGATTCTCTTGCCTTAGCCTCCCAACTAGCTGAGACTACAGGTGCCCTCCACAATGCCCGGCTATTTTTTTTTGGTTGTAGTCATTGTTCTTTGGCAGGCCCTGGTTGGATTCTAATCCTCCAGCTCCTGCATATGCGCTGGCGCTCTAGCTGCTGAGCCACAGGTGCCAAACCCACAATTGCAATTTGTATTCCTAATTGTTTGGTTAACATCTAGTAAGACTAAGAAGTAGGTGAACAGATGTCATGTCTGCTTTTACTTAATATTGTATCATCAGTGCCTAGTATAGTGCTCATAGGACATATTAACCACTCAACAAATTTTTGTTGAATGAATGAATAATTCTGACCCCTTACTCATTGTAACCTCAAGGTAACTTTGAGTGCCATTGACTTATGTTTGAAGAAGCTTTCTCAGAGTCCATATGAAGGGATGTTCCTTTAAAACCTTCCAAAATGATTAGCGGGCTAGTCATACAGGAGGCAGACTCTGCAAGCAGAGTCTGGCTGTCTCTGGAATTTCCTGGAAGGGACTTTGGGAGTGGAAAACAAGATAAGTTAATGCACATTTCAGTTACATGTTGCACCTGTTTTCTCAGACAGATGGCTGAGTAAGTTTTTGTGGTTACTCTGTATGGTTTCTTTGTACTCTTATCACATAAACCAGTGGCTGCCAATTACTTTTATTTTTAGAATGTGTATGTGCAGAACTTAGTGTTGTTAAGACTATATAAGCTTGCAAAAAATAAAGTTAAGGGCTGCATACCAGAGCAAAAACAAAAATCAACCATAAGACTACAAATTACTCAGGACTTCTAAAATTTTGGACAATATATCCATTTCTATTAGTGTATGGTCTGGGGTCTGAGCTATTTTACTTAAATATTAAGGGGAAGAATGATCACAGGATCCCCAAAAATTTAGATCACCTGGGTAGGAGATGTTAATTTTTCTGTAGCAGAATTTTGAAATAAGGAATACTATAACTCAGTTATCCTGCTAAAAGAAGGAATAGTAATGCAGGTACTATTCTAGCATCTTGTTTTTGTGTTTGGTCTATTGTTGGAGTAATGATGATAGGTAGAGAGTATGGTCTTACAAATGTACTTAATGAAGAGGAAGAAATTATGCCACTGGAATTTTTAAGAAAGTCCAACAAAGATTTACTTCATTAAGATATGGCAAAGTCAGTTACCATAGGGAAAATCAGTTGATGGCAGTTAGTTCTTAAACTGCAATGTATTTTGGTTTCTGAACTAAAGTATTGACTGGTATAGCCATTTTTTTTTTTCCCTCTCTCCTAGAGCTTGAACTAGGTGAAAGGTTTGCTAAAAGAGGTTTTTGATACTGGGGGTTATCCGAAGGCTACAGAAATGTGCTGTTAATGGTTACTTGACACCTTTACAGTAATGTTGCCTTGTATATGACCTTAATGATTAGGATTGTTTTTCCCCTCACACTAAGCAGTTATATTTCCCAAGATGAATTTCATCTAGAATCACATTATAGTGGGAGTCTATTTTAAACTTCACTTTTGAAATAAATGGGACCTATGACCATATTGGTTGCCTTAGTCATTCTTTTTTTTTTTTGCAGTTTTTGGCCAGGGCTGGGTTTGAACCTACCACCTCTGGTAGGTGCCCTACTCCTTTGAGCCACAGGTGCCACCTAGTCTTTTTTTTTTTTTGAGACAGAGCCTCAAGCTTCCACCCTGGTAGAGTGCTGTGGCATCACAGCTCACAGCAACCACCAACTCCTGGGCTTAAGCGATTCTCTTGCCTCAGGCCTCCCAAATAGCTGGGACTACAGGCACCTGCCATAATGCCCAGCTATTTTTTGGTTGTAGTTGTCATTGTTTTTTGGCAGGCCCAGGCTGGATTCAAACCTGCAAGCTTTGGTGTATGTGGCTGGTGCCTTAGCCGCTTGAGCTACAGGCACTGAGCCGATTGCCTTAGTCTTAAACAGGAATCATTACTTAAGGTTTGGTAAGCCAGATAGGGGCCAAAACAGTCATTTCAGATTCTGAAATGCTTCTCTGGCCACCGGGGACAATTTGAATAGATAGTATTTGTTTGTAAATTTCATGATAGGTTATCTGTTACTGCATAGAAACAATGAACAAAATTTGAGCAAGATCTAGTGAATCTGTGGAAATGATTAACTATCCCATTCTCTGTCTAGAGAAGGGAGTTTTATAAATGAAAAACAGATGAAAACAATATAGCCTTCTCCACTGGATTAACATATACATGATCCAATAGAATACTTTTTAGTGCTCAAATTGAAGAATTTGAGGACTGAAGCCTTGAGTTATTTTAGAACTTAAGCTGTCATTAAGAACGTGGGACATGGAATCAATCTGGCAGGAATTACCTGGGGTAATTATGGGAAATGTTAGAATCATAATCAATATCATAATCATAATCAATTAGCACTTCTTTGATTGGTTCAAGTACTTGCTTTGTAGTAGTTTAAATGCTTGTACCCATATATACATAGCTTACCAATATTTAGAGAATCACAGAAAATCAAAACTATACTATTTTTTGATTCAGAAGTAATTTTAAAAACTTGCATTTTTCTCAGTCTTCACTTGTACATATTATTGAATAGTTGATTTCTTATGAATATAGAACAAATCCAATATTATTATAGATAGATAAGTCAATGTTTTTCTTTTTTACCTTGGATGGCAAGCAAAGTCAAACACTAGGAGTAAGAACTATTTGACAAAGTATTTTCTACCTCTATGTACAGTTAGAATGACAACATTCAAGGTCACTGCATCTGAACCCATTCTTTCTCATGCATTGTCTGTGAAGAAAAATGGCCTCAGACCAGGATACAGACAGGAATGGTAGAAGATATAATGATGAGAGTGCTAGGTACAGAGAAGGTGCTAAGTAAATGATTATTTTCTGTTCACAATTTAACTATTCTTTATACCCTTATTTATTTTGTTCATCCAAATATATTTTTTAAGTGATAGGAAGTAGATACTTTGCTATACATTGGGGAAACAGAAATAGAAGACACATCCTCTGTTCTTGAGAAACTCACAGTCTAGAGAGGACAAAAGAATAAATACTTTAAATAAATCTGTGGTAAACTCTTTGAACTCATTTATAAAAGAAATAAAATATTATCCTGATTATTAAGCATGGGAGCTTAAAATGTGACTATTTTTTCTGTTTTGAAAGTCTTTTATTAAGGATAAAAAAACCGTGGTCTTAGTCTTATGTTTCAATGTGCAGTGAGTTATTAATTCACAATTCCAAATATTCAAAACCCATAATAGTTTGTCCTTTGTTCCTACTTCCACACATTCTGTGTCGTTTTTATATTAGAATGGCAGCTGTATTTGTGTTCAAAAAGTGAATACAGTATTTGAAGTTAATTCTTTCTGTTACAGGTAACCACATGGTGGACGTTGGGGACATTATATTTATTTTAAATGAACTACAGCAACAGTATGAGGATGTTTGTAAGTGAGCTCTTGTTACTGTGGCAAGTTTTGTTTATAAAAATATAGTCAAGAAGATGATTGTAATAAAGTTGAAGCATAGTCAAAAAATGCTGAAAAAATAGTCTTTAAATTAACTCCTAATGCATGAGATTTATTTTATAGAGGGTTTTGAAAGTCTTGTCTGAATGCTTTAATTCCTAAATCAAGGAGATAAAAAATTAATATAATACCCTAAATATAACCTAATCAATATTGATTATATAATTTGACTATCTTATAATTTTTCTTTTATCTTTCCCTAAATACATTGTAACATAAAATCAACTTTAAAGTAAAATTGAAAGCCTAGTGTGATGATATGTCCCTAGAGTCCCAGATGCTTGGGAGATGAAGGCAGGAGGATAGCTGCTACACTCTAGCCTGGGCAACGTAGTGAGACCTTGTCTCTAAAAATGCCAGTAACACTAAAAAGGGATAATATTTAACACATAATTTGCAGGACATTCTAACATCTTGATATTGAACCTTTAAAATATTTTATTATCATTCATTATTTAATTTTTCTTCATTAAGCACACTCTTTTTGATTTCTTCTTATTGGATATCATGTTGCTCCTTATAATTCTCTCATTTGTCCAACTATCATTTGGTCAAGATTCTTTATGCACATAGTTTTAAGAATTATATAGCTTTCTGAGGTTTGTTATAAAGAAAGCTGCCCCTTACTTGATCCTTTCCCTAGCTTTTCCAGAGGCAAACATTTTAAATGTTTTAGCTGGTTTCTTGAATATTTATCTTTATAATATGGTTATGTTGCTACTTGAGTTTTAACATTTTGGGTAGATATAGTAAACTTCCTACCATGAAAAATAAGGATTTATCTCTGTTTTATTTTCTGTGTCTCTAACACACCCACTGGCTCTTCCCATATCTATCCATCCTCACAATATATTTAATTATTAATAGTAACTTGATTAATTTTTATTCAATATTTGTATTAATATGTCTATTTAAACACTATTAATAGCTTAGCCATATAGTAGAATCTTATGGTTACTTTCTTTTTCTGTGTAACTTATTTTTCCATCTTTAATAATTGTTTTATTTATTTATTTGTTTGGTTTTTAAAAGTGTATTACTGATCCAACCTGAACACTGACAAATGTCTAAAATTCCTCTTTATAAGTTTTCTATACCTAATATTCTATAAGTTTTGACTTTTTTTTTTTTTGTTGAGACAGAGTCTCAAGCTGTCCCCCTGGGTAGAGTGCTGTGGCATCACAGCTCATAGCAACCTCCAACTCCTGGGCTGAAGTGAGTCTCCTGCCTCAGCCTCCCAAGTAGCTGGGACCACAGGCGCCCGCCATAATGCCGGCTATTTTTTTTTTTGGTTGCAGCCGTCATTGTTGTTTGGCAGCCCAGGCTGGATTCAAACCTGCCACCTTAGGTGTATGTGGCTGGCGCCTTAGCCACTTGAGCCACAGGTGCTGAGCCCAAGTTTTGACTTCTTAAGGAAATTTTCTTTAGAGAACTCTGATATTCTCTACTGTGGATTTTGTTGACCTCTACATCTTGTGTATACTTGACATCCTGGGATCTCCTTTTATCAACATTCTGGAGACTTTTTTTCACATCTCTTCTTCTGTACCAGATTCTGTTCTAATGTTTGATTGACAGTTTGGGTATAGAATTCTAGATTAGAAATAATTTTCCCTCAGAATTTTGGATTTTCTAGTCTTATGTGCCTGCCTTCCTTCCATCTTTCCTTTTTTTTTTTTTAAGACAGAGTTTCACTGTGTCGCCCTGGGTAGAGTGCCCTGGAATCACAGTTCACAGCAACCTTAAACTCTTGGCCTTAAGCCATTCTCTTTCTCAGCCTCCCAAGTAGCTGGGACTACAGGCGCATGCCACAACCCCCAGCTATTTTTTTTGTTGTTGTTGTTGCAGTTGTCATTGTTGTTTAGTTGGCCTGGCCTGGGCTTGAACCCAGCAGTGTCAGTGTATATGGCTGGTGCCATAACCACTGTGCTGTGGTTGCTGAGCCCCAGCTATTTTTTATTGTTGTTGCTGTTATTGTTGCAGTTGTCATTGTTTAGCAGGCCTGGGCTAGGTTTGAAACTGCCAACCTCAGTGTATGTGGCCAGTGCCCAACCCACTGAGCTATGGGTGCCACCGATTTCTAGTTTTCATTGTTGTTGCTGAAATCCAAAATTCTTCTCATTCTTGACCCTTAGGAAGTACCTGATTTTTCTCTTTGCAAGTGTATGTAATATTTTATTTCCATCCATTGTTCAGAAATCTCATGATGATGTACCTTGAAATATGTTTTTTTGCAATCATATGTGGGATTTAGTGCCCTTTGATTCTGGGAAATTGAAAAAATATTGTTGATTATTTCATTTCCTCTGTTTTTCTATTCTCTCTGGAACTCTCATTATTTAGATATTTGAAATCATGGACTGGTTCTCTATTTCTTTTTAAATCTCTTTTTGTTCTTTTTTATTTTTGGATAAATTATTAAATTATAATTAATTTAATATTAAATTATATTATTATTTATATTTTACTTTTTGAAAGCCAGAAAATAACAAATTTCACTTTTAGGAAAGTCATCTTATTAGAAATACATGAAGTGTACTTAATACAAAGAAACAAGTTTCTTGGTACCACCAGTGAGATGGACATAATGCTCTCATCAATTCCTTTAAGTGAGGGTTATGTTAAATTGCCCTCCTAACATCTACTGAGATGATTTCAATCCAGGGAGGTCTGAGTAAACTTTACAGAAATTACAGTGAAGAAGCTGACCTTTAACATTTGGGTCCTCCTAAGTACACACCAGAGAAAACTATTTTGTCCCAATGGGCCCCAACTTCACTGGTGACTAAGCATTGGCAGCTCTTTACCGGCAGACAGGGAGAGACCACAGCAGCAGTTACAGGCCCAAGCCCACTGTCATCTGAACCTCAGCCACTGACCAGAAAAACTTCCATATTCAGACTAAATATGTGACATGCAAGAACAAACCTAAATCCATATGCCTTTTGGCCAATCAGAGGTCTGTTTCTACAGATTAGGCTTATAGTTCTTAGCTTTAATATTTATAAATATGTGTAAAATATGTTGAACTTCTAGCTTCTAAAGTTGTTACTGAAATTTCTAGTAGTCAGTTTTTACTAACAACTGTTTGTCATGACATGTGCCTTATGAATAGTGGTGTGTCTTGGAAGAGACAACAGAGTACAATACTGGGTTTCCTATAGCTGTGCTCTGCATTCAGAAAGCAGATTTTCAAATAGCTTGTAAATATGCATTTACATTTTGAAACCAGTGTCATAAGGAAACCATCTGTGATATAAAAACAATGATCAGTTTAATCTAAGTTACCAAGAAGATAACAGAACTAGTATCCACTGGAGCCTCCTCTTCCTTTTTACTCATTTGAGGACTCCTTTTCATGTGTCAAGGACAAGAATGCAGGTAGGCTCCCAGAGAGGCAAACTTGACCCAGTCATTTGAAAATACCTCATTAGTACTAATCAAAACTTCCAGCATCTGATAGTGCTGAACTCAGAAAGTTCGCCCTGAGGACTTATGAAATGCAACCCCAACTTGCAGCAGCTGCTGCCAATGCCCACCAGCAAGCAGTTCTGCACACAGCAGCTTTAGCACTGGTCAGGGCCACTATTGCCAGAGCCCACAGGGAAAAGGAAAGGAGAAGCTTATTTCATTGTGCTCTTCATGACCCAGAAAAGGTCCTGGATGGCTCGGAGGACCCGAGGATGAACACTGGATGGGAAGAATGAGTGGGAAACAATAACAGGGTAGAGGTGAGGAAGCTGGATTCTCTTCCAAAAGAAAAGGCAGAAGCTCCAAGAAACAACTAAGAACCAACAGACTAGACCTTGTGACAAACAAGGTTAACAGCAGGAAGACCACTTTGGCAAGGGCTCAAAGGAAAGGATGGCTCTGACCTGGGGACCTCTGTCAGAAGCGACTCTGTCCCACAGTCGCAGATCATTTCCAGGTCTTTTGTACAGTTAGGAGTCAAAGGTTTCACATTTAACACTTAATGGAAGCTCTGGAACATGAGATGCATGGCACAGATTCTGCTCACTGGTCAATGATGGAATGCTGCAACACCTGATTCATCCTGTCTTCTTCATCAACATCATAATCCATAAAAGTGTCATAAGAAAACTGGTGCCATCACTGGATATGCTCTATGAAGTTGGTGCTGCAGTAGTTGGGGCATCTTTCTCCTGGGGCATCGAGACACATATCAAACAAACCATACATTTGGTGTCCTTGCTGTGGGATAGTTTGTAATGTTGTAACCACAAGTCCTCCCTGGTTAAAATTCTTCTCAGGACAGTAAGGACAAGGAAGGGTATGATGATTTGCGACATTCCTTGGCTGAAGTGACACATCCTTAGTGGTGGCCTTCACACCTTCCATGATGTAATTCTGGTATTTAGAACAGGAAGCCACATGGGCCCAGATCTTGGATAAGAGGAAATTCTTATAGCAGCCATGACAAGAATTCTTTGTGGTCTTGATATGTAGCTCGAGCTCCATGGCTCAGACACCAGGTGCCAGAGCTCTGCGGCAAGACCCCATAGACAGATTTCTTCGGCTGCAGAGCAAAAGACGTGTCCACAGAGCACCTGCACAGCTTCTTGTACACCTCTAAGCACAATGGACACATGAAGTGGCCTAGGGGGTCGGCCTCTGATTTCGGCCCAGGCTGCTGCGTTGCACAATCAACCTCTTGCTGTTGTACTGCCATCTTGCTGCCCCTCTCTTCACTATTGTCTAGCTCTTGCTTTTTGTTCTGCTTTTTGAAAGGTTTCCTTAATTTATTTTCTAACCTTTCTATATTGCTTTTCCATTGGGCTTTTTAGTTTCTAAAAACTTTTTTTCTCTGAATGTTATTTTATTGTAACATCTTCTTCTTGTATTATGGACATTCCTTTTAAATTATGGACATAGTATCTTTTGTTATACAAGCATATTGATTATGTTTTTAAAATTTTATTTTAAATTTGTACTTTGTTTATTCCAAGTTGTTTTTTTCTGTTTGCTTTTATGTTGGAACCATGCATCCAATGGCTGGTGATCTTTGGTTGTCTGCTCATATTTGAGATAGTGAACTAAAAAGCTGTTCAGAAGTTCTGAGACAAAGGATGAAACTAGTTGACTATGGACTATTGATTGTAGGGCAGTAGTTCTCAACCAGAGGTGATTTTGGGATCCCTACCCCCAGACATTTGGAAATATCTGGGAACACTTTTGTTTATCACAACCTGAGGAGGGTGTTATTAATAATATCTAGTGGATAGAGAGGCCATGGATACTTTTAAATATCCTGTAATGAAGAGTACAACCTCTTAATAAAGAATTATCTGATGTAAGAGGTCAGTATTACTCTGTTATAGGGGAATCTGACTGGGATGTTTGTTATTCTTGATAACACTATTTTTAGGTATTTTTTTCTTTTGACATGATTAGAGTATTCAAAGAGAAGATTCTAATACTCCTCTCGGAGGGTATAGGGTTGATTTATGGAGTGAATGGGGACCCACATGTTTAATAGAAGAACAAGAACTAGAGTTTCAATTATTCTGTGGAAATAGTATTACAATACTCTTCTAATTTTCATAACCTTACCCTCTACTGTGTTTAGTGCTCCCTAATCCAGAGTCCTTTTTCTTAACCCTCCCTGATGAATTTGTAGATTTCTGTTCCAGTGAAAGAGGGTCAGTATCTGGGTACATGAAGTGGTTGAAGGGGAAATCTAAGTATTTAACTACTACTTAAACTGACTTTTAACTAATTCTTTGATTTTTATCCTTACTCCCACTCTTAGAGGTGTCTGGTACCACTTACATATGAACATTTGGAGCTTCTTCATGTTATGAATTTGATTGCTTTCCCCATTCTGGATTAGGACTCTGCCTTTTCAGGTCTACTAAGTTCATCAGCTTTCCAGTTTTCAAGATTTTATTGCAGTTGTTTCCTTTCATGATCTTTTTGTTATTATTGGATTATGATATTTAAAAAATTCCTGTAGATTTAATAGGGTTTTTGAAGGCTGTTCAATTTGCCATCTTTACCTGAAAGTTTCCAACTTTATTTTGAGTTTGTCTTCTCGGATGTCCATTTCTTTTCATTTCTTTTTCTCCACCTATGTACACATTGCTGTGTGTCCCTTAACAAGTAATTGTAGCTATTATTATTTTTAATAGTTTTATTTTTTTACCTTCATACTAAATACAAAAGTGAGATACTGTGCTAGCTTCAGCAGCACATATACTAAAATTGGAATGATACAGAAAAGATTAGCATGGCTCCTGCACAAGGATGATATGCAAATTCATGAAGCGTTCCATATTTTTGAGATAATAAGTTAAAAAAGTAAGGTACTGACTACCATCACCATTCTGATTTTGGATGTGTACTTACTTTTATCAGTGAGTTTTATATTTCCATATATTTTTGCATTACTAATTATCATCCTTTTCTTTTGGCTTTAAAAACTCTTTTTGGCGTTTCTTGTAAGATAGGTCTGATTGTGATGAACTCCTTCAGCTTTTGTTTATGTAGGGAAAGTCTTTTTCTTTCCATTTCTGAAGGACAGATTCTCTTGGTGTATAGTATTATTGCTTGGCAGGGTTTTTTTTTTCCTTCTAGCACTTTGAATATATCATTTCACTCTGCTGACCTGTAAGATCTGTGCTAAGAAATTTGATGCTCGCCTTATTTTGAACTCCCTTATGTTACTTGCTTCTTTTGTTTTGCTGTTTTCAGAATCCTTGTTTGTTCTTCATATATGACAGTTTGATTATAATATAGGGTAACCATAAAGTTTGTGTGTAGACAACTATTTTAAATTGCACATGAACTTTATGGCCACCCTGTACATCTTGGTATAGTCTTGGTTTAATCGAATTTTACTGAATACCTTTGGCCTTCCTGTGGCTGGAGATTTATATTTTATATTTGTCCAAACTTGAAATGTTTTCTGCTCTTATTTCTTTAAGTAAGCTTTCAACCCCTTTATCTTTCTGTTCTCCTGCACAAACTCTTATAACTTAAATACTTTCTATTTTAATACTGTCCCATTTAACCTTTAAGCTTTCCTACCTCTTAAAATTCTTTCTTCTCCTCTGACTATATATTTTTAAAACTGTCTTGGAATTCACAGATTCTTTCTTCTGCTTGATTAATTATGCTGTTATTGTGTTTTTCATTTATTTCATTATATTTTTCAGTTACAGATTTCCATTTGATTTTTTTTAAAGTAATTTCAGTGTCTTTATAAAATTCTAGTTTGGATCAGTTATTGTGTTCCTGATTTTATTGAATTTTTTTCTATGTATATTCTTGAAATTCATTGAAATTTCTCAAAGTAATTTGAATTCTTTATCAGGTAGTGAGTATATCTTTATTCTTGGGGTCAGCTACTGATAGAAGCTTATTGTGTCCCTTTGGTTTTTTGTGTTTTTTGTTGCTTTATGTTGATGTTTGTGCATTTGAAGAAATAAAGACTTATTCTAGTCTTGCAGACTGGTTTTTTTCTGGGAAATTCCTTTACCAGTCAGCTCATCCAGAGATTCTGGACAGGCCATTTGGCATGGTCCAAAAGCTGAAAGTAGGGGGCAGGTATAATGGCTCAGC